GGGAGTAGCTCAACCTAGTTGAGGTACTCCGCAAAGAACGGGTGTAGCGAAAAACGCAACCCGTGGTCCATAGCATCGACGTGGACCATGAAGAAGCCCGGGGGCAATAGGATGACAAACTCCCCACATCGGGCTTGATTATATCAACAGTGGGACCGGCTAGACGTCTGGCTTCAGCCCAGTCGTCGTCCGTGAGAGCACAGGTGGCCTCAAACGGGCCATTCTCGGCAAGGATGCTCACCTCATCCCGACATCTCCTCTTACCACCTTTTCGCCTCTTGACAGAGCTAAGAGGAGCGACGTTGAGCATAGAGGCAACCTCCTCAACATTAAGCAGATGACCATGGTCAGCCTTGTCTCTGGTGTTAGCAGAAGCACTGTGAGACGACATTTTTCAAATCTGCAGAATAAAACACACGCATGTAGAAATTCAAAATCTGTAGTTAAGGAACAAAAATCTGACCCCCAAACAAAAATCAAATATTCGAATGGACCCATTGACTCCTTTGTTTGACTTCTGTTGACCTCACGTCGACGATCAGGGTCAGAATTGGTGCCGAGATCGGTACACTCGAGGTCGGGCTCATAACTTGTCGTGTTTGAGCGGTTCTTGAGCTTGGTATTTTCCCGACCTCGAGGGGTCGAGGTCGGGGTCCGCTGGCCTTCGGACCTTAGTCGTTTTGTTGCCTGGTGCTTTGTCCCGACGTTGGTGGGTCGGGGTCGGTCCCAGTTGTGGACTTAGTACTTTTATGCATCCTGGGATGAATCCGTGAAGTAAATCACCGACGATTATGATACCCTTGAGGTATATGGGAATATACTCCATCAGACATCAAAGGGGAGATTGTAAGGATTTCTTCACAAAGCCTTTCCAAGAACACGAAAGTAGTTGAACTGCAGTGAAGATCAAGACAAAAGAGGAGCAATTCCACCCAGCTCATCTAATCTCTCCTCTACATTGCAGATTCGCAGATCAAAGACAAAGACAAAAATAATTCGTGCTTCATTGCAAATTGAACACAAAAGGGAAGATTGTTAGAATATATTTTATTGTGTTCAATTTAATTAGATTTATCTTTGTATATTAGATTTAATTAGTGGACTATTAAATTAATTAGGGGCCATTTAATTGGATTAATCTGGGTCATTGATGTGAGTTTTCTCGCACTTAAAAAGATTATAGAATATTGGTGAAAGTACGAGTATCGTCTCCACAGGGACGGACAAAAGGGAATTAAAGATTAACTAAATTCAGCGATTAAAAAGAAATAAAATTAAATAAATGCGTCGTGCGAGATGGATTGGTTGAATTGAAAGTAAACTAATGCGAATGAGCGAATAAAAGTAAATATTTGGGTTCTTCTTAATTAACGACGAAGGGAACAGGGATTGATTCCGGGGTAATCAGATTTCTGGCAGATCAGGCTTAATTACATGAATTTAATTAAATTGAGCCTAGCTAATCAATACTAAGTTCTTACCGCTCTCGCGGCGTAGAGTACAATAATTTAGGGGACCGGGCTGATCTCTCATGCGACAGGATCCTAAATTATTGCCAAGACGAACGAGCTTATGGCCCCTTAATCGCTACTAATCTCTTAGCGAACGATTAAGTGTGTGTGAATGTGTCCTAGAATAAACTAGACCTCTCTTAATTTATTCTATGTGCAATTGTAATTCTAGCCGCGGTTCCAGATTACAAAAGATAACAATTAAGTTATTCAAACACAAATTAAATGACATTCATGTAATCAAACCATCAAGAAACTAGCCATACATCATTATAAACCCCTTCATCAACCCCAAATCCCTAATTAAAACTACTCGCAATTCATAATTGAAGAATCAACGGAATTGGGAAGAATAGAATTAATTGTCATTAATAAAAAAGTATGAACTTACAAAGAATGTTAAGGAATTGAAAAACCTGGCTGAAAAGCTCTCTTATTTTCGTCCTTAATCAGCTCTCTAAAGTCCATCCCCCTTTATTAGGGTTATGGGGGTGATATTTATATGAAACAAGGCAATTTGGGCTGAATTAGGACAAAACGGGGTCAGGCACGACGCCAGGCACGACCGTGCCTGCGACCGTGCCTACGGAAGCATTCCGTTTAAACGCATCCAGGCATGGCGTGCCTAACTTCCAGGCACGACCGTGCCTGGCCTCCAGTAGCTCATTCCTCGTTTCTCTTCAGGCACGGCGTGCCTGCCTGCCAGACACGACCGTGCCTGGGTTCCACTAGCTCATTCCTAACTTTGAGGGCACGACCGTGTCTACTTAACTTCCGAATTTGGAATTACTTCCTTAATGAAAGTTGTAGATAATGAAGTACTCTATCCACCACAACTTGCGGAATTAGATTTGAATCACCTAATCAAGAGATATGATCAAAATGGTGGAAGGTCTCATTCTGAAATCACAACAGGGATCATCTGAATTCATCGTCTGTTTTCACCTTCTTCCTCTCAGATTCTCGCAATGGTGTCTTCATATAATTTGTATCCCTTGAACTTGTCTTTCATATGGACTTTGAATCGTGTACAGTGAATGTTTCTACAAAGAGATATGCTTGAACGATTTACAGAAGGTCATCCTGATCGCTGATTTCAAGCTCCATTCATCTTATTTTGATCCGGTAGACATTCCTAGAGCTCTCTTGTCGTCAAAACTTCATCGTGAACTTCCCGGTGACCTCCAAATCTCTCAATTCACTCCCGAATGCTTCTTAACTCATCCTGATTTCTTATCAAGCGCCGGTGCCGAACTCTAAAATCCTCATTTTGACTCCAAATGACACAAAACTCGAACCAACGCCTGTTAAACATAACTTGAGCTAAAATTGAGACTTGTAACACCTTAAAGCTAGGAAAACCATCAAAATCCAATCTCAACACGCATCAAATGCGTGTCTAAATACGGACTTATCAGTCATCCTATTGCAACTAGGATGTTCAGTCATATGCTTATAAACAAAGGCAATATGGACTGAACAACCTAAGAGTTCCCAATTCCTAATAGCCTCACGCTTCATTGTTGGAACTCTCACGTTAGATTAGAAGAGAGAAAGACTCTACACAATTTATTCTGCACATATTATTCTCGTAGAGCACCTCTAGCTTTCTCTCTCAACAATTCATACGTGTATCATGTTATATTGCTATATCATTATGAATATACGGGGTATTAATTGTTGATTAATTATTCTTCTTCTACTCAATATCTTCATATTATTACATATTAATTAATCGTCTGTTAATCTGGGATCTCCCACAGTTATGATTTTTTTACATTGAAATGTGTAGTTTTATTTCATAATTATTCAGAGAAAAAATTAAAAGGAAAACATTACTTATAATAATTTAATTAATGTTTTACTAAATTGATATGCAAAAAATATGCTGAATGTATCTTATTGACGGTGGTGCTGAAATGCGGAAAAATATGAGTTAAAGCACTGTTTTCATATGAGCAAGGTCTATTTTTAACATTTTGGCTTCCTCACCACTACAAAGTCTTACTGACAGGAGTTACAAGCTGTGCTTGTAGGGGCTTGCAGTGCTTGGAGAGGCTAGATAGTCAATCAGGTCAACTATAACTCGATCCGCCAACTCTAAATTTGTGAGTATTATTATATCCATCATCTACTACATACCATATACCATATTTACATCCAATCTAACCATCATTGGAAGATCAATTAAGTTGAGTGAGATTATGATTGATGGTATAAATTTAATCTCATATAGCACTAATAATAGATGTCACATACTTAATTAATAGAATAATACTTGGGAGAAAAGTAGTTTAGTGGTTTTTAAAAGACACATGATTGTAATTATATAACCAATATTAATAAATTTCAAAACTCGAATTAAGTTAGAAGGGAAAAATGCCAAATGGATTTGTCTACCATTTTCAATTCATTAGTTAAGCCCATATACTAAACAAGTACTTCGTATCATATAAGTACGCTTACTTTAAAAAGTCTATCAATGTGACATTTTAACTGGTTTTGACCTACAATAATATATTTTTATATTAATTTTATAAAAATTTGTTAAAATTCTAAGAAATTTAAATTAAAGCTTTGGACAATTTCAGAATGTCAAAGTCTATATATTTGTTTTTGGAATTATTTTATATTCTACATCTCTTAAGAGTTATAACATTTTAATTTTAATATTTTTTTTACACTTTCACTTTATATTTTTCATTTTGCTGATTTTTAATTTGTTTAATTTAACGTTCTAAAATTGTTTATCTATTTTTTATATTCTTAGAACACTATTATTTGAATTGATAACAACTTTTATAAAATTTATCGATTGTTTTTAGTTTTTTTAAAACAACATGTTATAATAGGTAAAATGACTTGATTTATTGTGTTTTTAAAACACACTTGTCAAATACTTTTTAAGAATAAAGACTTAAATGGTAGATTAATGAAATAGTAGAAAAGTTTATTTGATCTTTTTTTCGAAATTAGAATGATTTGAACCTTACAAATATAATGAAATACGATATACGAAAAGAATGAGAGTACATGCTAACCCCAATCTTAATTAGTTGAATTTCATTGTTTTTTCACACTATTTATATACTTTGCTCTCATCGTATTTTATGTATTAATGTATTTTTTGTTGTACTTTTTCTTTTCTTAATGTATTTAAAAATCATATTTTGAAATATATCATTGAATTTGTTTTAATGTACCTTTAGAGAATAAACCTTTTTCTTAGTTTTTGTTAATAATAAATAATAAGAGTAACAATTAAGTTTTGTGTTGTAACTCCTAGAAGTCAAACTATCAGAATTAAATTGAAAGATGAGTATGAGTGACATGAGACTGTTACTTGTTCCTTATTAGAAGTAGTTTGACATTCTTTGACCAAAATTTCACTCCTTAATCTGGGTGAATCTCACTCAAAATAGAACACACACAGATCACAGGATCATACTTGGTACGGTAATATTCTGATTTGAGCGAGAAAGAAGGATTAACTCACCGTCACGGAACAAAAACAAAGTCTTAGAAGCGTTGAGCTTCTTCCTCGCCCAAAGTCCAAATGGATAGGGACTGTAGCCGCTGAAGGATGAGATACCCATCCTTTATAACTTGCGACTAATACTTCTCCGTGCGACGTGTCAAGAATTCTGCACAGGTGATCACCGGTATGACGTCTCTCAATCCTCGCTCCACTCAACAACCATTCCCCCTTTGGCCTTTTCCTAAATTTATCGCGCCCTTCTCCTGTATATAAGCTCCCAAGCTGACCCTTTTCTTTTTCATTGACAATTTTTGGTACAAAAATCAAGGCAACCCCGGAAACCCCTTCCTTTAAAGCTCTGAACTTTGGCTCCTAGGTTTCCTCAATCACCGAATTTCTAGTCTTCAGCCCTACTGATAAATTGTTTCTTTTGTTTGTTCTTGTTTTGATCATGCCAGTGAAATCTCCCTGATTGTATTTGGTTTTTATGTTATGCTTCGCTGAAGCAACTGAGTTTGTTTCCTTTTCTTTTTTTTGAAGTGCAAGAAGAAGTTTGCTGGTTGAATTGCTGGGATCATCGGTAAGAAGCCGGGGAATTTTCTGATGGTTATGTTTTGATGTGTTTGATGAATTGCTTGATGGGTTTGGAATGCTTTTGTAGGAAGCTTGGGCTGGAGTGTAGTTAAGAGAAAAGAAAGCTCTACAAATCTTCTTTGCCTTCACACGATTGAAAATTAAAGGGCTTTGGAATCTTTTGAAAGCATTAAAAAAGTTTTTCCCATATTGTAAAGTAGAATTTATTTACTTAAGCTGACTTGCCCTATGCGGTGGAAATGAATTTCTTAGTTACCAACATATCATATTATTCTCTTCCAATCGTCTCTCTTTCAAAACTGTTATCTTTCTTCTACAAAGTATGTTGAGAAATCTGGTAATGAATGGTAACGATATACTTTTGTATACTTGCTTGGTGGCAGTTTCTGAAACTTGAGTCACAGTGAAGGGATTCCTAGGCCTTTTTTTACATTGAATTGATTGAAGATTGTTTTGTTCAATTGATTAGGCTTTTTTAATCCTCTTGTATCTGACTCTAAGAGTTGGTCGTGTGGGCGGGGAATGATCCTTTATAAAGTCCTGATTTTTTGATGTTGAAGTTTGATCTTCAGCAGCACCACCGTCTCAAAGTTCCTTATTCATTAACCGGATTGCATTCAACAGAGTACATCGCGATGGACATGAAAAGGATATCCTGGGTAGGAAATGTATACCAGAAGTTTGAAGCTATGTGTTTGGAGATTGAGGACGTCGTGTATAAGGTTGACACTATTTTCCTCTGTTTACTGCTCTTCATGCTTAACTTCCGCTTGAATAATGTATCTATTTAATCCTATTGCTTATAGCAGATACAAAATCTATATAAATCGTTTATTAAATTTAACCTATAACAATGTTCAATGTGGAATTTATTTTTTAAGCTAGATTAGGATAATTTATCCTACCAATAACTATTTGACCTTTTCTGGAACTGGATTGCTTCGGTTTTGGTTGTGATTATAAATTCGATCTTGTCCTGGTTAGATTGGTAAATAGTTTTCCATGTTTCTTCATTATTATTCGAATTTCCTTTTGGGAACATTTTACTGTAAATCTTCTTAGAAAAACTTTCCTCATGTGCATTTAACTCTCATACATATTTGGTGGCCTTTATTGGTTAATCTTTAAGAATCATAAAATCCTTTGAACCAAAGACATGACATTTTGCTACAAATCCAATCAATAGTCCTGTGATTTTCAAAACAAGTTTAAATTTTCTATTGTTTGTTGAAAACACGAACAACATCAGACAATGGTTCTGCTAATCCATTAAATGATTTGTATACATTTTCAGGACACTATAGACTATGTTGAAAATCAAGTGCAAACCGTGGGAGAAAGTGTGAAGAAGTTTTGTTCAGAAATGATGCATGATTTGCATCCCGAGTCTGGCACTGATCCAGTTAGTGTTGCTGCTGCTGCCGACTTTTCTGTGAATCCTTATGCTTACCTCGAGATTGAGAAAAAGGGGAAAAAGGGGAAAAAGGAAAAATGTGAAAACTACAGAAGTAAAGATGTGAATACCACAGACGATGCTCAAGTCATCAAGGGTAAGGATGGATATACTACTGTTTGTCTCTAAATTCTAAGTGAATTGGTACTGTTGATATTAATGTGTCTCTTGTTATTGTATTAAGGAAGAAGTAAACCTGATGGGCTATATAAACGCCGAAGTGTTGGCATCAGAAAGACCGAAGGCAACCATTTTCCACTAATGGTGCCTTCACCTGTGGCTTGTGAGTCTTGGGAGAGGAATAGTAGGAACTCTTCAGTCTGTGAATTAAGTGAAAGAGTGGAGGACACTTGTGACCATGTAGCAGATACAAATATGAACAGAACGTGTTGCTCTATAGAGAATGTTGTGTCTGATGAGGCATTAGTAGATGGATCAGCTGGGCAGAGGCAAGAAGATCCTGAATGCACTACCACTTTTGATGGATCATCGTCTAGATCAAGTGGTATATTATAGTCCTACCACTTGATCCCTTTCTTTTTTCTTTTTCCTTTATTTAAAAAAGGTATTCCCCGATTTCTACTACAAGTTTTTTTGTTAACTGTGCTATCGAATCAGGTACAGAACAAGCACATATGACAAATTGCCCAATTTCTCATACAGGTGGTGTCAATACAATCAACAGTGGATCTGCAGGTGAGGTCATTGTTAACTTCGTTTTGAAATTGAGGGCCTGTTTGGTAAGGAATATTTGGCTAAACTTTCTGAAAGAAAGTGTTAGTCAACATCCATTTCAGCCAAATAAGTAAGTAGAAAGCTACTTATTTTGAGGCCTAAGCTAGCAGAACTGGCTACCAAGCAGAGCCTGAGATTGATACTTGAAAGAATTTGCCCTGCTTATTAGTAACTTTTTAGTCATGTTTGGTGTTAAGTTGTATGAAATTTCTATATCACTAATCCTAAAAATGGCAGAAAATGACCCTTCTTATGAAATTGTGTGACCTAGATCAGTTCAAGTATTAGACAAAGTAAGAAACTACCTAATAAGGTTCTGGTCACCGGCATGTTTACTGTTTCGTATTGACGTATTCTTGAAAGTTTAGAATGTAGTTACCTTTGTTTCTAAATTATGTGTGTGCATATAACTGATAACTCACTGTCAAGTGAAAAACAGAGGCAAGTAAATTAAAAATGATACTTGTTGGGCTCCATAATTTAGAGCATTGGGTTGACATCCTTACACTCAAGTGGCTTCACTATATGTGTGTGTACTGTGTAGGGCCTGCTTCAGGTAAAATTGAAACAGTAAAAATGATGCATCATTATTGAAGCGTAATTGCACTCTTATCATAGCGGGGATTGCGGCTAATTACAATTCCATCGCTGAGCTTTTCTATTTATGTTCTCCTGGTTTTTTAGAAGCTTAGATCTTCAATTTAATGCACTATAGTCATTCTCATCCTTCACCTATGCAACGCTTCTGCATTTGTTCCAAAGTCTGGTTTTTGTGTGTGAATTAGTTTTTTCTTATTCACTATATACCCTGTTTTAAAAACTGGGAATACAATCTTTTTGTACACAATCTTTTGCATGTAGATAATTATATTACCTATCCATGCCCAATACTTTTGAAGCTTGCTCCAGTATGAAGTAGTAAGTTATGATATATTCCGCTGCTTTATATATATATATTTTCTACAGAGAGATCAAATAAGCATGATTGCAATGCAGTGGAGGCATTAAATGTGCTTGATCAAGAAGGGGAAGTAATCGATCAAGAAGGCGAAGCAGCTGATCAAGATGTGGATGAGACATGTGTATTGGTTGAAGGGGATGGACTTCATATTCCCCATGTTCCTGTCAAACCCAAATCATATAAGGTCTCTCCTCTCCCTTTCTTATATATACATGCACGCATGTGCACATTGGACATTGCTTTCAATGTGATTTTTATCAAGAAATTCGTGATCTTTTCTGTTTCCAATTATGAAACACATATTTTTTCCAGATCATTTGGTTGAAATTACTAATGACTGCAAAAAAGTTCAAAGTAAAACTTTTTGAACCAAATAAGTAAGATGGAGGCGTTATTTGGTGAAATGTGACTAAACTGGCTAATTTTTGGAAACATCTTCAGCCGAACAAGTTAAAAAGACACTCATTCTGTTTATTTTGTTGATAATCAGAATGAGACAGATCTGGACATGTTTGGCAGAACTGTTATGGACGCGATTCTACTGACAAATGTCAAAGGGAGGTTAATGATATTTCCTCTTTCGAAATGGAATTATCAATGAAATCCCAGTTTCTAATAAGTTTTTTTAAGAGTTTTCAAGATGTTGTTTCGTTTAGGAACTGAAAACAAAAGCATTAGCATTGAGCACCAAAACTTATCTCTTTAAGTTTTAGTCTGTAGTAAAAGTCCCGGCCTCTGCCCGTTTTCCCTTTTCCAGCGGGTGTCGAACGCCCTTTACACCACCATTAGTTTGTTCTTTTGGGAGAAGTGAAAACAAGCAAGAAACTACACAATAACCTTAACTGTGTTTGTTTCAACTCCAGAAAAAAATCCGTGAAGCATTTTCATCGAAAGCAAGATTAACCATGAAGGAGTATCAGAAGCTGGCAGCAAAATATGAAGAGCAGGCTGCAGAAAGAGATGGGGGAGAAAATGCCCCACCTGTGTTGGTGAGAATGAAGGCAAGCACTGATGGTATACCATCAGATAGCAGTGACTTCCCTGACTCTGAGTGGGAGCTTCTCTAGTTGCAATGCTTGCCTGCAGGCTGCAGCTAGTAATAAAAATTTTCATTTCATAGATCAATGTATATATATACCTTATATATATATATTTGTAGAGAATGTACAATATCGAAGCAGATTAAAGAGTTTTTTATGATTATTATTATTATTAGTATTATACTCTAGTTATTATTATATTCTCCTCTCCATACTAAAAATGAGCTAGCTCTCTTCTTCCTTCTAAGCAGACAGGTAAAAAAGTTGCTCTTATATGAAATATAAACATAACTCGACTAAAAAAGATTTTAACTTTAATTCTGGTATTGAGTTCTAAGAATTAGTTCTTCGTTGCATTTATAGTTCCTTTTTTCAAAATTTTTAATAGAAACAATTATCTTTGTGGTTGGGTAATTGGGTAAATGTCAGTTTTGGATTGAAAAATTTACATTCTTGCACAGTACACGCACGGTGTCCTCACGGAACGTGCACGGTACTCATCTTGGGGAGAGTGTAGACTGTACGGCAAGCCATCGGGGTTGCTCTCTTCAAACAATGATTTTCTGAGGGGAATTCATGAAAATTGATTTCTTTTTCTAGTAAACTTAAATTATACTCCTTCCTTTCCGGTCGTTTCTTACAACTTTCTTTTTTGAACTGTCCCAGTTAATTCTTTCAATTTCCACTTTTGAAAAAAATATGTGATTTACATTCATTCACTTTTTTCTTACCCAACTATAACCATACATTTTCACTTTATTCTCACTACCTAAATTTGCGATACCGGTCAAAACCGGAAGAAATGACCGGGACGGAGGGAGTAATGTACAACACGTTTTTCTAAACATATTTTTTGTTGGACTCATTTTATAGTCAAAGAGAATGATCGATAGGAGCCATTTGGTAACGCCTAAATTGATAAATTGATTAAATCAGTTGAAATTTTGATTGAAATAGTTGAAGATGTTGATTTATGAAACAATATATTAAAATATTTTTCATTAATTTGACAAAGAAAAAGTTAAATGCATTACAGTTAAAATAGTCTTCCTTAGTAACATCAATCAATTTTGCAAGAAAAATAATTTTATCATACTTATTTTGATTATGATAATACAAGAAAAATAATTTTAATCACAGTTGTTTTGATACTTGGGTAAAATAGTTGATTGATAAAATGGACAAGTTGAAAATAGAAACTATCAAACATGTTCTAAAAATAGTGTAAAATCGTCAAGTACTACCTCTCTTGTGGTTTAAACTTTTTATTGAAAATCATACGAGTATTTATACAATAATTAGATAATGTAATATATATATATATATATATATATATATATATTGATAAATAGTTTTGATGATTAAAGTATCGTATGAGAGTGTTAATTACTACGTATATTCTAAAGTAGAAATAAGAAGTATATATTATCGTATGTATGGATGGACTCGGGCCGGGTGGCCCGACCCGGAACCGGTCCGGGACAGGCACTGTTCTGGCCCGGCCCGACCCGGTGGCCCGGTCAGTGACCCGTGGGTTTTTCGGTCCGGGCTCGGGTCACCCAAAACAAGGCCCGACCCGGCCAAGCCCGGGCCCGGTTCGGGCCAAAACTTGTTTTTTCAATTTTTTTAAATTTTTGAGTTGAGCTGGGTATTTTGGGCCATTTGGAGTGATTTGGGGGGTTGGGGGTAGGAGGGAGGTTAATTAGGAAGAGGAAAAAAATTTGATAATGGGCCCGGACCGGACCCGGTGGTTACCCGAGCCGGTCCCGGGTCCACCACTTCTGAACCGCCGGCCAGCCCGGGCCTAGGCTCGACCCGGACCCGGCCCGGACCCGAGTCCATCCCTAATCGTATGTTGGAGAAGCGTTTGACGTGCGATAGTGTTGTAGTTTTAAAAACTGTGGTGGTTACGTTGCTCTCTAAAGTATTTACATAATAGTGTGTATTAAAATATATTGCAAATGATTAAGGTATGAAGTGTATTTAAAATATATTGCAAATGAATAAGGTATGACGTGCGATAGTATATTACTCCCTCCGTCCCGGTCATTTCTTTCAACTTTCTTTTTTGGGCCGTCCCAATTAATTCTTCCAACTTCCACTTTTGGAAAAAATATGTGGTTCACATTCATTCACTTTTTTCTTACACAACTACAATAATACATTTTCACTTTATTCTCATTACCTAAATTTGCGATACCGGTCAAAACTGGAAGAAATGATCGGGACGGAGAAAGTATTAGAAAATCGTACTCAAAGTAAAGTATGTGAATAGTGCAGAAATTCCAATGTTGCAACTTTTATGGAACGGAAGAAGTATGTTCTTCTCTAGGCTTCCAATCTTGTAATACATAGCTAGTTACCATTTACACATCAATGCAAATAATCATGGCGTAGGCACGGTAAATGTTATAGTGATCGAGTCAATAGACATGATTTTTTGTAGGGGTGGGCATTTCGGTTTTCGGTTCGGTTTTCTTCGGTTTCGGTTCGGTTTCGGTTTAATCGGTTTGATAGAAAATGTACCAAATACAAACCGATTAAGTTTCGGTTTGGTTTCGGTTTGGTATGGTTCGGTTCGGTTTGGAGTTCGGTTTACCAAAGTATTAAGGATTGGATTGAAAAAAAAATAACTCAAAATAATGAACCAAGAAGCGATAGTAATGAACCAAATATATTGTTAGATATAAATTTGCAAACAGTAACAAAACACGTATGAACTAAAAATATATAAGCATGACACATTTGTAAGCAACAACAACAACAACGTGAATGAATCAAATTATATATAAAGTCAAAACAAAAACAAAATTGGTGCTCGTAAGTAATGAACCAAATATATAGTAGTAGTAGATAATAAATTATACGTAGTAGTTAAATACTATCTACTTAAACCACTATAATTGTTACAGTTGTGAATGTAACTCTTGTAGTAAACTCTAGTCCCGGACACTAAAATTAAAGAATTAAAGCTTCAAAAAGATTAACATCAATCAAATTAATGAGAGAAATCTTATATTTTGGTTTGGTTTAGTTTGGTGTAAGTAGGTTTTGATTTGTTATTTTAAAAAAATAAGAAATTATTTCAATTTTAGATTAGTTCGGTTTTATTCGGTTTTATGATTTCGGTTAGGTTTGGTTCGGTTTAATACGGTTTGGGAGGAATACTACCAAACTCAAACCAAACTACAAATGGTTCGGATTCGATTCGGTTTAATTCGGTTTGGTACGGTTCGGTTCGGTCAAACCGAACCGTTATGCCCACCCCTAATTTTTCGTATGAATGTTTACACCAAAGTTTTACCCACAACAAGCATGCATCCTTCAATTACAATAAGAATGTGTTCTGTATAAATGTACCTCTAAGAGCCACCTTATTAATGCTTTAGATACTCATTTCCTCCCTTGCTCTATCTTTTAATAGCCACTAGGGATTCCATGTGTCCTACGGACACTACGTTAAACATACTTCAAAAGAGCAATCCCCCCAAAAAAAGAAGTCACCACATTCCTGAGAGCCCCTAACCCCGACCGGACGGTACGTAGGGATGATGTAAATTGGATTATAATCCCAATCTGACAGATAGAGAGTGGAGTTCTGTCTCTGATACTTGCACAAGCTCTATACATATTTTAGTATAGTAACCTCTCATCACAGTTGTCAGGATTCGAACCCGAGACTTAACATTTGTGTCATTCTCTCGTTACTAGTTGAGCTACGCCCACCGGTTCAAAAGAGCTATCCCATAAATTCCAAACCATCATACATAATTAAGAAATGAAATGCTTAGAAGGGCCAAACATACCTTAGTTGGAATTGAATAAGGTATAGTAGCAACAACGTAAGTAGAGTTGTTTTTGGAAAACTGATCAATGCATGTGTTAGAACTTATCGTCAAGGACCCGACATCCTTTGTTGTTCTTGTAGTAGCTCCACTAGCCTTTTGAGGGGCAGAGAAGACGTACTTTTCATATGATATTTTCCAGGCTTTTCGCCAATGCCATGTGCCTGTTGGGCTCTACATTTATCATGTTGGTGAATGGTGGGTGTCAGGGTGAGCACGGTCCAGGTCGATCAGAATAATTGATAAATTTTTATGAACCGTTGGTTCCATTTAAGCAATAGGTTCCGCTCGGATATACCAAGTTTCGAATTAGGAATTGGACCTTACCGCCCCGTTTGAGACAGGCTGGTCCGGTTCGGGTTCTCGGTTCTTATTTTTTGTGAAAAATACTACTACGCTAACAAAATACCTAACATGTAATAGCATTTTCACACTAATTAAGTATCAATGTCACCGTAATATAGTAAAAGTTCAAAATAAAAATATAAAACAAAGTTTTGAATTAGTAAACAAAATAACTCGCCACAATCTATAAATTAATAAATAGCACACATTCACACAAGTTTAATAACACCAAAATTTTAAATGTAGAGAATTAGATATCATCATTCATAAACTAAAATATAGCACCAAAAATATGTTTAGGAGAACCATTTAAAGTTTAATAAATCTCAAAATATAAGTCAAATTGAGATAACTAAATAAATGTTCACACTTTATTGAATAAGAGTCATTGTTTACAAAAAATTAAATAAAAAAATTTGATGCATTTGAAACAAAGAAATTTGTGACAATAATTTATAAGTTTATATGAACTTTGAATTTTTTTTAATAGATTCATGAACATAAAGAAAATTTGGGTGTTGTTAGTAAATTATACTAATATTAAATATACCCTATAATAGACTTTATTAAAATAATATTTTAAAACGGATCGGTCCAGGTACCCTTTTTTCAAATCGTTCAAATCGAAATATAGTACGATTCCTAAACATTTTAGGACCCACCCTATTTGGATTTTCTTACATTAAGACCCGACCCAACCCGTCTCGTTTGAGTTTTCTTATACTAAGACCCGACCCTAACCCTCCCCAAACATGTATTATCCGGTTCGATCCGTGGTTCTTGTAACCGTTTGACCACCCTAGTATGTGTATTCGGGTGCAAATGAGTTGAGCCGCTCATGAGCTGCTCGGTCAAAGCTCGGATCGAGTTCGGTCAAACTCGAGTTTGAGCCGAGCTTGAGCCAGCTCGTTGAGCAGTCGAGCCATAAACGAGTCTACCAATTTTAGGCTAGCTTGCTCGCGAGCCTAGTTTTATATGTGTGTATATTTATATATGTAATATATTATATATTAATATAATATATATATATATATATATTATAATATATATATATTATATTAATATATAATATATATTAGTATATATAATATAAATTAATATATATATATATATATATGTATATATATATATATATAATTCTGATTGGTAAATGTATATGAGGATCAAAGAGAGTATATTTTCCGTTCCCGTAACTGTAGTTTCAGTTAAATCAACATGGTTTGATCATTTTTTATTTATTTTGAACAACATTTACTCTACTTTTAGTTGTTGGCCATGTAAATTTCAATTTGCAAATACTAAGCACAAATATTCAAAGATTGTTTCATACTTGAGCTCGAGTTCGAACCCGAACTTTCGAGCTAATCGAGTTTGTAACATTTGAGTTGACGAACCAAAGTTATCGAGCCGAGTCGTACTGAATCGAGCCATGTCAATATTTGCGAGTTGAGCTCAAGCCCGGATTTTTTAAGCTCGTTCGAGCCGAGCTCGAGCTCGAGCCAATACAATAAACTCGGCTCGTTTGCACCCTGCCGTCATGCGACATGTCTACTACTCCTATTGTTTTTATGTTTCTATATTTCTTGTCTTAACATTATTGTTTTACTTTCTTGTTTTAGGGATGTTTTTACTCGAATTGTGTTCAATCCAAGACCTGACCAGACTTAAATAGATCAGACGAGACTTAAATAAACCACACCGGATCAGTTCGAACTAGACTAAAACAGACCAAATTGGACCAGTAAATTTCTGTTCGAATAAAAACGTCATATTCCCCTTAACACGAATTAAAATATGGAGGGAGTAATTGATCAATTAAAGATTGTCGCCTTTAGAGAGAACACAAGGTAGAATATGTCTCTTGTTATTTCTTACGTAGTACTACCTCCATCCCATAATGGTTGTCTCATTTCAATTTGGCACAATTATTAATAAAGTGATTGAAAAGTAAAAGTTCTTATTGAGATTTGAGTAGAATTAAGTGAAATGATATGGACAAAAAAATTTCTTATCAAAAAAGGAAACATGACATCCATTTTGGAATTACCCAAAAAGAAAAGCAAGACAACCAAAATTGAACGGAAGGGGGAGTATTATTGAACCAAACAAGCCAATTTACTTGGACTAATAAATTGTACAGAAATTACTCTAAGTAAGAGCAAAAACGTTTACTCCTAAATTATTTATGGAAATTACAATAAATTGTACAGAAATTACTCTAAGGAAGGGGGAGTATTATTGAAACGTTTTAAAGCCTAATAATGCCAAACTTGGCAGAAATGTACTCCTATTCAAGAAATAAAAAACATGATAATCTTATTTTGAAATTTCAAAACTTTTTTACTCCTAAATTATTTATGGAATTCTCTCTAAATTGTATTAAGTATAATATTCAGCTCAAGTTGTAACAAAAGCCATGAATTCTTCATCATTTCCCAAAGCAAGTAGCGTTTGGGGAAGAAGGCAGACCTCAATGTCCACGCTCCCTTCTTCCACTCCCGGGAACAGGCTGAACTTCCCGTCAGCTTTGTTGTCCATCCCACACCTCACCGCTACCGGCTTCCCCCACCCGAAATCCGTCCCGTAAACGTCATTTCTCGGAGAACTAGCAATTCCCAGAAAATTGTTACAGAACAGAGTCTCCTTCCGTGACACCACCGGAGATCTCACCCAGTTTTCGTAAAACTCCACCGCCTCTTCATGTTTTTTCCCGGAGACCACCTGATGGATTTGCCAGGCAGCCCATCCCAATCCTCTCTCAAGCAAATTCCCTGCTTTCACCCTCACCATCTTGCTGTAAATCGCGTTCCCCCAATACCCTTCTGGAAGTGGCGGATTCATCCTCCATCTCGTTCCCATCGGGACGTATATGAAGACCTCTTCAGTGGGGTTGATTCGACGGGAACGGGTGATTGCCCTCCACAGGTGGGCCACATATGATTGCAGGGAGGAGATTTTTGAGCCTTTTGTTGAAAACCCCATTTCGGAGTTGGCTTCCAGTTTGAGCTTACCGATGCTTTCTTGGCTGAAATGGAATACCCTTTCTTGAAAAGGTTGGGGTTTGAAAGAATTGGAGAGCTTTTCTTCTTTCTCGAGATCTAATCGGAGACGGAGTGGGCCGGTGGCTTTCATGTTTTCCGGGAACCACGGGTGTAGGACGGGAGGTATGGATGGCTTGTGGAACCCGCGGGAGATTTCAGCCCAAGAATTGAAGAAATGCCAGAAGGAAGAAGCGTCTGCTACGCTGTGATTCATGGCGCATCCGATGAAGTACCCGTCGGCGAGTTCCGTCACCTGCACGCCGAGCAAGGGGTTAGAGACGCCGTCGATGTTGGAGACGCCGTTGAACGGGAACAGAGAATGGACGATGCGGGGCACGATGGTGGGCTGGAGAATCTGAGCGAGAGTCACGCCGGCGGCGTTGGCCACGACGAACTCTGCTCCTTTGTTGTTGCAGTTGATGAAGACAGACGTCGTGCCGTCTTCGTTCTTTGTGACGGAAAGACGCCCGGCCAGCGGCTGGAAAAAGTGGAGAGTGGAAGAGAGTGAGGCTCTCAGATGATCTAAAAAGCTTCTGCTGCTGGTTGGGGGGTTAGGAAAGATGAGACCTTTTTGGATGTAGTCAAGGAGGAGGGACTTTAGATCCCACGGCGTCAAATCAATCTGGGGAATTCTTGGGACGCCGCCTTCTACTTCCTCCATGGCTGCCGCTCCGACTAAGCATCTTGATATCAACTCAGCTTTTTCCATCTCTGATCTCTGTTTGATTTGCTTTACAGCTTTGCCTGCTTCCTTATGAATTCATAGAAAGGAGAGTTGGTGGAAACTCTTCCTTTCAAGTCAACAATGGCCGGCTACATTTGACACTGTTATGGGAAAATGGCAACAACACCAATTCCCTCCCAAAACTATCGTCAAAAGATTATCAAGAACCATATGTTTCTTTGCTTAGACAGCTCAATGAACCCAAGGGGTCAGTTTGGACCATGAAAAAGAGTAGGGGAAGAAGTAGGAAACATTCAATTCATTTACAACCATATACCCAACCATGACATAGATTAAGCAAAAGATTGTTATAGATAAAACATCACCTCTCTAGGGTGGTAAAAAGCGTCTGCACTACGCTGAATCGGACACTACTCAGCACTCGCTAACAAAGTAAACACAAACAACATGCATAGAAACTAGAAACAACAAACATTGTAACTCCTCTCAAATTGTTCAATCATCTTCAAGATACTCATCCTCACTATCCGATGTCATACACTCAATGGTCTTCGGGAGATCGGTCCTGTCAGAACCCCTCATCTCTGCCTCATACTGAATGAACAACCTCTGAACCAATGGTGAACTGATTGGAGGGGTCGCCGAAAATTGCCGAACTAAATTGGCCCCATCCTTGCTGGTCTTTATCTTACAAGCAAGGGCAAAGAGAATTGGGAATCTAGACCGGTCAAAACAAGTTTGCTGATATGTTGGGAGTAGATACCTGGCGAATTGTAAATAATCACATTTGGATAGTGCCTTCAATGCATCCGAGAGATTAACAACTTCACATAGAACTTCGGGGTTTCGCAGCACATGGGATTGAGGCAAAAGAAGTGTCTCGTATATGAACATGAATGCATTCATTCCATTATACTCGATCATAGATGACACATAGCACAATACCCGAGACAAAGTATCTTCACCATCAAAATGGGCAATGAGATTGTTTATGATAGCTATGCTCAACTGAAGACTAGATCCAAGACATGTCCTAATAAGTTGTGCCTCTTTAAGATCAAATAAAATATCGATCTCCTCTGAAGTGCCAGCTTTGCTCTTCAACTCTCTGATCCTAGTTGTCATGTACGGCAAGTAGGTTTCCTCAGTTGCATATTTGAACAGCATGATCAGTCATCAGAATGCAGTGCCGTTTGTGGTAGGGCAGTGCCGTGTTGTTATCGACGGCAGAATTTCAGCAATCGACCACTAGCGGCAGCACAATAGCAGTGTTAGTGGCAAGGCTAAGGGGATTCTTATCCTATAACAATAGAACTTCTATATTGGGAATTTTAAACAACTACTCCTATTTTTTTCCTTTGTCATTTTATAATTTATACTAGTATTATGGTAATTATCTCAATTAATTTACATAATTTATTGCCCTCTAGTGTACATAATTATCCCCTAATTCCCTCAATCCCTTGCATAACCAAGATAAGTTCAACAGTTGATATTCTGTTTTGTTTTATGAGAAACTTTTGCATTAACCAAGATAAGTTCATTGTAACCTTATTTATTCAATGATTTTCCTTGAGATCAACTGATACAATCATTTCAGGCTTTCAGCCAAGTAATCTGTTACCAAACAAACGATATATCTATCGCAAACAAATGTAGGTGACTATTCTTTTCAAGTATTCAATCAACCTCACATTCCTTCTCTCCGGACGTTTTCAAAGATATGAAATTGTCATTTGAAAGTTGAAACTAACAAATCACTTCATTGCCCCCTTAATTTGAACCATACTAAAAAGCAGGCACTCATGGAGGGGTGTCATTCGATCAACCACGGTTCTTGAGCTGGCATCCACTGGCATAGTTCTCCTTCTTTGAACCAAAGATCTGCTCAACAATAACAAGTAACAAAACTATGAAACGAATTTACAAAATCACTTAAAAGTTGAAGAGACAGAACCAGAAATGAGGCATAAGAGTAGAAGCAAAGACAGTAGAGTGGCATTATGAGGTAAACCGTAAACAAACATACCTATTTCACGTATACCATTTTCAGGGCTGTCACTTCCATGCACCACATTCCTGCACTCATTAAAAAATATTGAGTTCAAACACCTAAACCTCTTCAACCAAAAATAAGTTTATTTTGAAAATTCGAGAATTAAAAAAACAAAAGGACTGACCTTCCCATTTGGACAGAAAGGTCTCCTCTGATAGTACCGGGTTGAGCATCAAGAGGATTAGTAGCTCCGATTAACTTGCGGGCTGATGGAACAACACCGATTCCTTCCCAAGCCTATGATCAAGAAGTCAAGAACCATATGTTTCTCTATTTAAACAGCTCAATAACTCTCAAGGGTCCGTTTGGAACATGAAATATGTTAGGGGAGAGTAAGGATAAAAATAAAAGGGATATTATAAAGGGTTGAAAATTTGGAGACTCGAACTCAATAAATATATTATAGATATTTGTTCAAACTCATGCTATACAGTACTGCATCTATTTATATCTATCCCATAAAGAATAAGGAATCTAAATATACATAACAAAAGTTACTAATAAAATTTCTTTTGTTTTCCTTTTCATTTTCCATTGTAAAATAAAATGCAACGAAAAAATAACTTCACATGGCACTTTGTGTTCTTTCACTAGTATTTTCCAAAATCCAAACATGCCCTATGAGGACCGGATGTAATGTACTTATGTTGTCTTTCTCAATCAGTTCTTACAATAAAATCACAAAGCCAATCAAAATGGGGGATACAACAAGAACTATACCATACACACAACAGGACCGGATGTAATGTACTTGATCAGCTTCGGAAAGAACGGCTTAGACTTCAGATCCTTGTAATGCTCCTGTTTCCATTCATAAAAAATCAAGAAATTAAGCAAAATAACATACCCCCACATAAACATAATAATTCAGAACTATAAAAACAAATCAAAAACCAAAATATCCCATTTTATTGAAAAAGGAATCCTCTACAAACCTCAGCCAATTCATTGGGGCATTGGAAGAGCTTTAGCCCAATAAGTTTAAAACCCTTTCGCTCAAACCTGGATATTATTTCTCCAACCTTAAATTCAATGGACACAATTACTATTAGTATTTGGTAAAAGCAAAAGAGTAGGAAAACTTATTATCATTAATTTACTCAAGTTGATAATAATACAAATTGAAAAGTGAAAATTGGCAGAGTATATGTATGGAAGCTGCTTACAAGGCCCCTCTGGACACCATCTGGCTTAATCATAATGTAAGTTTGTTGCTTATCTTCCTGCACAAAAAAGCAAGAAACTTTAGGAGTGGAATTCCACTTATGGGGCCTCCCTTAATTTGATCTGATTAATAAAATAAGCACTTACCATGGAGGCAACCAAGTGAGGAAGAAATATTTGATCTTTTGTTTGGGCACGACAGCGAAATGGGGAATACGAGAAAAGATGGTAGACAGGTTTTAGAGATGCCAGGTGGTTGGTGGCGGCGCGTGCAGATAGATTCCGAGACTTGGAGGGGGAGTAAGATAAGGCATGGGCTTTCTTTGCCACTGTGTGAGAAGCAGAGAGTGAATTCACGCAAGGAGTGGCATATTTCACTGTCAATAGAGCCTCCATTATCTCTTTTTGCCTTCCTGTTTTTCGGTCATTCAGCGTGTTTAAATTGAGGAGTCCCTTGCTGCGGATTTAGGGGGAAGAAAATCTTAATTTTGTTTGGCTAATTAATTCATTACAAAAATAACATCATCTTTTTAAGTTTTGTCTGTTTCACACAAGGCAGGTCCTGTATATTTGCAATGGCATACTCTAATAAAAAAATGTAAAACCCTTTTCTGTCTAAACTAACATGCATAAAAATAATAATAATAATAATTCAAGGCTTTATAATAAAGAAAAGACTTAGATTCGTTAAATTAAACATAACATCACGGTTTCAAAATAACAAAATAAAAAAATGAGTTAAATACGTTACTCTGAGTATTGTGAAATTTTCAAGTTTTTTAACATCCAGATTAGAAATCATCAATACTAAAATTGCCAGTTTCTCTGATCATATCCTCGTTTTTCTTTCTCCCATCCAGATTCAACCAGTATTATTCATTTTCATTTCATTTTCATTTACCCCAGTGCCGCAAAGGCTCCCACCTACGGTGGGGTAAGGGGGGGTCGGATGTACGCAGTCTTACCCCTGTACTAAAGCACAAAGAGACTGTTTCCGGATGACCCATAGTGAAAATCGCGTCCAAAATTGCATGGACTGACTGCTGCTCCATAACAAAGAAGCGCAGACAGTTTAGTGAGCCATTTTGCTTTATTCCATCATAATCTCAAGCCAAAAAGTAATGAATCTTTGGCTCCATAGCAAATGATGGAAATATTCAACCAATATTATTACTCCTTAAAATTACATAGATTTAAAAATTTAATTATAATTCATTATTTTTACAACACAAATTAAAAGAAATAAAAATTGAGATTCGATTACATAAGAGAAAAACTAACTAATTACTCCAACAAGTGAACAATTATAAACTAATCAACTAATAACTATTAAAAATAGTCAGAACCACATTATCAACAAAGAAACTAAAGCAGTATTCAACATATCAATTAATTAAGAAATCAAGTAACCTCAGGTCCTCAGCATCAATAAAGGCTCAACTGCTCAAGGCAGAACAGATAAACAGAAATAGGGCTGACTCTCTGAGAAGTGAGGATAAATAGGAGAAACGGCAGGCGGCCAAGTATCGCTGCATCGGCCGTCGAACTGCTGCTCAGCTGCTACTTAACCTCCTTTTCGGCCGTGAACTCCTGAAGGGGCTGACCGGCTGAAGTCTCCGTTTGTAATTGTCACTTACTAAGCTTTTTGGTATTCTTGGGCCCGGTTGGGCTGTACCAAACTACGGAGTATTAGTCTAGGCTGAAAAATAGGCTACTCACATGATCACATCTACTAAAAAAATTATGGGCCCAAATGTTTTACTTTTTTTTGTGTGTATGCCCCCTCCATAGGGCTGCCCCGGGTTCACATTAAGGACTACTAGTAAACTCACCCGTGCGATGCACGATCTGAGAATTCTTCTTTTAAATTTATGAGTGCTTAGTAATTCAAATCACACTATCAATTGTAAGTGAGTAAAATATGTGAAAGTGTGTTATATCATTCTTGAATTCTACTTGAATCTAAATTTGTGGGAAAATGTTCAAATAGGTGCTTCTACTATTTCTAATATCCAAGTATGGTCTGGTCTGGTTTGTTTAAGTTTGGTTTGGTCTAACACTGAAATAAGTCTAAGTATAAACATCTCAAGTAATATGGTGACTATGCATTTATACGAATTTGCTCAGGTAAATTGGCAAATCAGGGGGTGTGCAAATATGTGAAAGTATGTTATGACATTATTAAACAATACTCAAATGTGAGGGGCATTTATATTATTTATTTGTTTGAAAAAATTAAGTTTTCCATATTTAGACTCCCTCCGTCGTCTCAAACCATTTATCATTATTGGATGTCCGCATTTAGTCGCGATCTATTTACAAAGGGAACAATGATCAACTACACCCTTATCTATTAAAAGTTTGTTATGTATGACGGTCATTTTGACATGCCATTTATAGGAATATTCTAAAATTTTAATTAAAAAAATAAAAGATTTGGGCATATGAAACAAAAAAAAAGTTTATACGCAAAAATGCTAAATCTAAAAATCTAAAATCTATGCAAAATATGAAAAGGATACGGAAAAACGCCAAAATATAGATCTTGAACATTTGTAAATTGTTCAAATATTTTATTTGATATGGAGATTAATTGATAGTTCGAAAATAGCAGAAGTTTCTATTCAACCCTTTTCTTTTTACAGAAGTAGACATCAAGAGTATGTTAATGAAAGATGATTTATTTCTTAATTTGTTGCGCCCAGTTAGGCAGCTATAACACAAAATTTACTCCGTGATTTTTACTTAGAACTATAAAAAAACTGAAACCAATATGTTTGGGCACTGACCCGAACAAAAAATACCCAAATGAATTTTTACGGGACAATCCAGAGCAGCCCAATAATATATTAGGAATTTTCGTATATAACTAATACACGGGCCCGCCGGTAGAGCCCAATAAAATGAGGTTTATAACCGAACGATGAAAATGACACCCCTTCAATTCAAATCATCCCCTTTCTTCGCCAACACACATTCACCTTAACATTACCTCCCACCAAACTCAATCGATGCACGCTAATCCGCGATTCATCCAAGCGACGGGAAAATGATATGGTCCTCACACTTAATCGACCTTTTCAAGCCCATATCCCACCGTGAAGCAACAATCGAACGAACGTCGACATAATCCGGCATCAAACGGCTGCCACATGAGTTACCTGGCAACGGTAAGATCTGATTCCCTACACCTCACACAATCATGTCGTTGATTAAATTTTTCGAAAGAATAACAACCTAAAATCAACTCTATTGTACATCAGTCATTCCTAACACTTGAACACAGGGCCGGCCCAGGGCAAGTGCAAGCAGTGCAACCGCACAGGGCCCGTAAATTCTAAGGGCCCAAAATTTTAAAAGTCTTCCTATTATTACATATGAACTAATATTGCCCAAAACGTAAGCCCAATGATTCCCTAAACCTTCTATAGCTGAGAGGTTTCGAACCCTGGTGGGTTGCTTGCACATACGGGTGGTGAACCAACTCAACTGTTGGGTTCATGTTAAAACACTTTCAGTTCACGTTTTTATATCATAATTTTGAATGATAAAACACCATCTTATTTCTTATACTACGTATTTTGTCATCCTTATATTATCCTTTTTTGGGGTTTTAATTCTAAGTTTGAATGATTTAGTGAGTAGATAATTATATTTGGATGGTTTGTAATAATTGAACTCGGCAAATCACCAATTTCAATTATTAGGTTATGAGTATGTTAGTTTATAATTCCGTTTAACAAATAAATGAAGTGTATTTTGTTGAGGAACACTTTTGTTTCAACTATTTTTTTAGTGAATAACTTGTATTTTGATACAAATTACTCCGTATTGTTGTAGCAAATTATTACAAATATAATCTTCATTTACATTATATTTCTACCTATTTTTAAAAAGACATACTTCCTCTGTCTCTTTTAGTTGCAACAGTCAACATTTCACGTTTGCCAACACACAACTTTGACCATCATTATATTTAATTTTGTATTAGTAAAAATAAAATAAAAATCAGATTAAAAAACTTAGTAATGAGATGAATTTAACAACATTTTTCAAAAAAAAATAATTCACATACATTAATAAATAAAATGTTGTCAAAGTAAAGTACATGAATAGTGTATATATTTCAATGTTGCAATTAATGAGCTACGGAGGATAGTACTTTTTATTTTTGCACAGGGCTCGTGTTTTCTCAGGACCGGCCCTGCTTGAACATTCGATCGGTGCTCTCTATACTCCTCCCCAAGGTTCTCCACCCCAAACTCTTCCACATAAATTATTTAGGCAATCGTCGAGAAACAATAGGGCCAAAAAAGGAGTTGGTTTACTGATGTTCATTGACATCACCAAAATACCATCCAATCGCATGAATGATACTCGAAGCAATTACTACGGTCTGCTAACGTAGACATATACACGACAACAGTAAGTAAATCATAACTGCACTATAGGTCTGTGGTTACTTTTGTTTTTTCTTAAATTACTTCCATAATCCATTTTTGAAAACTGATAAATCTAAGAGAACAATCAAGTACAAATTATCTAAAAAAAGGTCATTTATTTAATGTTGGGAAAATGTGTTAAAAATTGCATTAAATGGTCATTTTGGGGCAATTATTTGAGTGGGGTCCACTTCCGATTTGGATCGGGTCAAAGTGGTTTCGGATTGTCCTTGTTAAGGGCTACAATTCGATATATGGTACGCTCAAAACGGATAACGGGTGAATGAGAAATTGATTCTCGAAGTTCACTCGTTGAAATGGAAAAACTAGGAAAATGATGAGTTTCTAGTGTGTTTTATCTCGCACCGAAAAACTCAAGGGATTTTCACCCCCTTATAAAGGGAAGCCTCTTTTAAGGAGTTAAGATTCCTAAAGGGAAAGGCTCTCTCTTACGCGCAGGGGGGGTGCCGATCAAATCCCGAAACGGAGAAGAAAAACCGCGACTCGTGTGCGCGAGCGACCTGCGGACACGAATGCCGTCCAAAAATCTATCTCTCAAGAGATACGGTTAATTTTTGTTTTCTTCCCGAAACGTTTATTTTTTCCCAGAAGTGCTCCGGACAGAAACCCTCCAAGGGGGTTCTGTTGGCTTCGGACAGAAACCCTCCAGATACGGTTAATTTTTGTTTTCTTCTGTCGCGCACTTCTTCCGTTACAACAATTAATGCCCAACGTTCTTCTCTTTTAATGCTGCGTTAAATGGACAGTTTATGGACGATTCAATGCCCAACGGACTGGTCATTGATGTCCAACGTTCAGGTCCATTAACACCCCATTTAACACACAACAAATCCTCCTATAAATAGCTGGCAGGTGCTTTGCAACAAACACACGGTTTGACAACGCACAATACTTTCCTCACGTTTTCTTGAGCTAAAAACTCTTCCAGCTACTCCCAAAATTCCTTCTGTGTTCATACCTGGTTCTCGTTCGCTGGAACTCTTGTTTGTGTGCTCAAACATTAGTTCGTAGTCATCGTATCCTGGGAAACGATTGTTGCAACGCTCCTAGCACCGTGGGAGGCAACAAATACGTTTTAAGGAAATCGTGCGTAGCACGAGCTTTGGCTAATTCTGCTTCATCTCCTTTCTTGTTTTTCTCTAGTCATTTTATTTAATTAATTTATTTTAATTAATTTTTCTTTATTTTCCGAAACACACCCAATAATCTTAAAACGTATTTGTTGATTGTTCTACTCCGGTAAACAATCTTAAAACGTATTTGTTGATTGTGTTACTGTGGTAAACAATCTTAAAACGTATTTGCTGAGCTTGTATCATACGGATACAATCTTAAAACGTATTTTCCTTGGTTGTTGTACTGCACTAAACAATCTAAAAACGTAGTTTGTCACTTTGGTGAACGAACTTAATTTTTGTGTTTTCGGAAAAACGTTAAAGAACGAAAATGACTTCTCAAGAAAACGAGATTGGTGTTGGGCAGAATGTTCTGAACGACAATCACTCTGAAAGCGGAGCACCGGTGAACAATAGTTCACAACGCGGTGCATCTGCTTTGGCCAACCAAAGGGCTATCCCTATGGTGACCGTGCCAAGCAACTCTGTGGAGAAACCCGAGAAATTCAACGGGTTAAACTTCAAGAGGTGGCAGCAAAAGATGCTATTTTACCTCACTACTCACTACTCAAGCAAGTAAGCAGAAGGTATTTTATTATTATTGTTAATAATAGTCATTACATTGAGCTTAAACAGCGCATCACATGTATACCCCTTTCCCACATACATTCCCGACTTAGACAAAACCAGTTTGTCCGACTCAAAAACCATGCGGAAGCCATGCTTGTTCAACAACGAACCGGAAATCAGGTTTTTGCGTATTTCCGAAACAAACAGCACTTGGTTGAGAGTCAGCTCTTTGCCCGAAGTCATATTCAGGACCACTTTGCCCACGCCTTCAACCGCGGAATGAGCCGAGTTACCCATCCACACTTTCTCACCATTTGATGGCTCAAAAGTTGTGAATAACTCCCGGTTTGAGCAAATATGTCGGGTTGCACCGGTGTCCACGAACCACTCCTTGGAATTGGATCCAACGAGGTTGACCTCGGTCACCACAGCCGCAAGGATGAT